GTTACCCGTGAGCACCCTGGTGAAGTGGTGCACCATGGAACACACTTTGGGGAACATGGCTCTGTTGGACTCACATTAAACTTAACATCATGGAGATTTATCTGACTTGCTAAATGGAGACTATCTGGTCTTGGAAAAACCAAAATTCAGGTACAACGAAACCTTGCCGTGTGATGAAGCAAAGTTAAAACCTATTCCCTTGAAACTACAGACAGTTCTGGAAGATGTAAAACTTTATTGTATTTATTGGCATAGAGTAACTAGGTCTACCAGTTAAACCTTCTCAAGCTGGCATTGCAACCAAGCCTGCTTACTGAACATGTACTAGTCTTCTACAGAGCATCCATTGTTAGAAATTAAAATCCAAATTAAAGTGTGCTAACTACTGTAAATATTCCTCACTAAGTTTTTTTTGCATACTTCTTGTCTTCTCTCTGGAGCTCCTTTTCTATCACAGGGATTCATTTACCAAATTTCTTTTTTTTTCCTGCTATATGCACTTAGACTCTCCGTGTTCTACAGGCACAGACTTATCTACAGCCCCTGACCAGGTGTCTTATAAAAATGCTTCCTGGTCACCATGGAAACTCCACAAGAGGGTATAAATGGATCAGCAGAAAGGCATCCCCACAAATAGAAACATATATCCAAAGCACGTGTTATGATGAATGGTGAGTCAAGTGCCTTATTTTCTGATCCAAGGACAGCGTTAATGTACCATGCAGGTGAAATAAACATTGGAGAAGATCACCAGTATACCATGTAGGATGATGACACATGGGAAGACACCCAATTCTTGGTCTCTAAATGTCATGGGAAAATGTACTTAAGCAGAGGCAAGGCAGTCTACCTCCTGTTTTGCATAATCTGTTTATCTTTTCCCTTATTCTTTGTTATTCTGTCTCCAGATGTTCTTCCCTGATTTGCATAGTACTGCTTTTGTATTATAAAATTGTGGATTGGGAGGCTGAGGTGGACAGATCATAAGGTCAGGAGATCAAGACCATTCTTGACAACATGGTGAAACCACATCTCTACTAAAAGTACAAAAATTAGCTGAACATGCCTGTAATCCCAGCTACTTGGGAGGCTAAGGCAGAAGAATCGGCTGAACTAGGGAGTCAGAGCCCACATCGCGCCACTGCACTCCAGCCTGGTAATAGAGCGAGACTCCGTTTAAAAAAAAAATTGTGGGGAGACAAGGTGCCTGTCGCTGACCGATAGAACCATGAGCCAAGCAATACTCATATGGCTTTGCTCTGAGGATTTGAAAGATGCCTCATCAGTCTACACGGGCCATTTTGAAGTCAGCTACCTTGAGCAAATCGCTTGACCTCTCTGGGCTCCCATTTTTTCATCTATAAAACGAAGACACCAGCTTGGATTTGCCTGGCAGGGTTAATACCTACACCAACATATCTGTCATACAGCTGTCTTTGGAAGACTGAAAACTGAAGAAATACTAAGTTCTAGCACTACAATTCTACTAACATTTGCAGAAATGAGCCTAACTTAGAACAAAGAAATATACTTCAGGCAGACGGAAGTGACTCAAGTAGTATATCAGTTTTTCTGAAAATATAAAGTACTACACGAAGTGTGAGGTATTAAACCATCTTCCCATAAAAAGATTTGTGAAGATGAATCTCAGCAGAGGAAAGAAAGGGCAAGCAAGAGAAAAGAGAGAAGGCAAGAGACTGTAGTTAGGAATAGATGGTGCCTGGAGCAGCTGATGATTGCAACAGAGGACTAAGAAACAGGAACTCTCTCTGGGACTCACCCTTGCGCATTTGCTTCTCCTGGGTTCTCACAGTTCTGATAGTCTAACCCAGAACCTTCAGCAGAAGTTATTACTGCTTTGTGCCCAAAGTGTGAACTAAAAGGTTAATGAAAGATGTCAATAGCTGCAATGAACTCACTTCAACATCTATTTAACAAGTAACTATTTGTTTGGCCGAGTCACCAAAAAATGGTAATGCTCTCATTTACTAATTCACTGACAAAAATTATCCTCTGAACACTTATAACATGTGGGCACTCCTTCAAGAGTCCTAAATTCAGTAAGGAGATTTACAAGTTCACAACTGTCATACAAGACATAGTACTATAAATGCTTTAAGAATACTGAGGCAAGTCAATCCCAAAGAATTAATAAGCAACAACGTTTTCATGAAATATGTTGATTTTTAAGTGGGGCTGATGGTAGAGGCAGGGTTTCTACCAAGGGAGATGAGAATGGGCTGGAGCAAAACCCAGAAGCAGGAAGGCAGGAGGTCAGTTTTAGATGAATATCAGTTACAAATGAGAAAGCAGTGTCCCCTGATACACAGAATGACTCCCTCTTGTAGATAGCTGAGGTGTTTGCCATGGACGAGTGGCAACAAGGAAAATCAGAGGTGTGTACTGGGGCAGAGGCTCCAAGCAGAAAGGCTAATTGGAGACATTGAAGTAGAAGAAACAAAGAGAGTGTCTGTGGGACAGAAAAGTACAGGAGGGACTGGAGGGACCCTTCTGGTAAACTGCTCCCACCAGAGCTCTGAAGTAAGCCTTGACCACTGGTTTACTGAAATTATAAAATCCTCTTGGTCATTCTGTCTTCCTCTACTGGATGTTCCACACAGAATCAATAAATTATTTTAATAACTAGCATTCACTCAGTGTTCACTGTGTGCTTGGAACTCTATAACATATGCTCCACACTGGCCACAGCCTCTTTCAGAAACCCTCTCTCAACTCTTGGGATGCTGTCCTCTCCTGTGTTTGCTGATAGTTCCTCAATTCCTACATCCCAGTGTCTCTTGCTAATTCCACTTCTATCCACACCATCAGAGACACTGAAACAAGATAGTGGTCCTCTTACATATGTCAGAACCTCAGGATTGGCTTACTCAAATTGCCCATGACATCCGAAGATTCTGGGAAGGCGTGTCTTTCTGGTTGAGAGCCACTGGTCTACCTTCTCCTTTCTGATGGGTTTAAGTTCATTGTTTTCTTTCTCTTGCCTCCCCTTCCCTCTCCTCTTTTTCTTTTCTTCCTCTTCTCTCTCATTGACAAATTCTTAGTTTCAAAAGCACATTTTGCCTTATTTACTTCTTCCCTCCCTTCCTTCTTTTCCTTCCTTCCTTCCTTCTTTTCATTCTTTCTCCTACTATCTATTATCATCTTTTGTTACGTCTTTCCACCACAGTACCTAGCATAATGCCCATTTTAATGTATGTTCTATGCATTTTCTCTTGCAGTGCATTGCACAGAGTAGGTATGCAATAATTATCTGGATTGAGCTAGATGTGCATATGAGTTTACCCAGCAGAAAGGTGTGAATATTTCAATACTTTAAAAAGACTACATAGAAATTAAATACAGTAGTTGAAGATATAAAAGTGTAAGTCTTTGGACAATAACTTCTGACAGGGTTAACGATATATTCAGGTGCTCCACAGTGCTTACACGTGGGGGAGCTTTTGTCTAACACCTCTTCTCGGATGAGTAGTGAAGAATGGATTGGAGAAGAAACAGAGAAAAGAAAAACAGTTGCTTATCTTTGGGGAATTGTAAAGTGCCAATGAAAGAGAACAACAGCAATGTGACACTGGAGGAGGGCATCTGCAATGATTAATTTTTTTTGTTTGTTTTTGAGACAAAGTCTTGCTCTGTCGTGCACGCTGGAGTGCAGTGGCACAATCTCGGCTCACTACAACCGCCGCCTCCCAGGTTCAAGCAATTCTCCTGCCTCAGCCTCCCGAGTAGCTGGGATTACAGGTGCACAACACCACACCTAGCTAATTTTTTTGTATTTTTAGTAGAGATGGGGTTTCACCATGTTGGCCAGGCTGGTCTTGAACTCCTGAGCTCGAGTGATCCACCCATCTGGGTCTCCCAAAGTACTTGGAATAAAAGGGGTGAGCCACTGCGCCCAGCCTGCAATAGTTAATTTTTTTATGTCAACTTGGCTAGATTAGGGGACACCCAGATAGCTGGTAAGCATTATTTCCGGGGATGTCTGAGAGTGTTTCCAGAAGAGATGGCATTTGGATTTTGGATCAGTGAACTGAATAAGAAAGATCCATCCTCATCCAATGTGGGTGGGCACCATCCAATTGGTGGGGGCCTGAATAGAACAAAAGGACAGAGGAAAGGCAAACTTGCTCTCTCTTCTGGAGCTGGAACACCCTTCTCTTGCCCGTGGACATCAGAACTTCAGGTTCTCTGGCCTTTGGACTCTGGAATTTGCACATGCAGATGCCCAGTTCTTAGGCCTTCAGCCTCAGACCAAGAGTGACACCAGTAGCTTCCCTGGTTCTCCTGCTTGCAGATGGCCCTTAATGGGACTTCTCAGCCTCCATAATCACATTTATTAGGGAGCTTGGCTCCCTAAATCCACCCATATATGTCTATCTCTCTATGTATCCTATTGGTTCTGCGTCTCTGAAAAACCTGACTAATACTCTATCTAAATTCCTTGGCAGTCCCCAATGATGTCTAGAAATTTGGCAAAATCTATGAAACTTGAGGACTGCAATTCGACACTGTATCCTCAGTCCTGTCAACTAGATATTTAATAATTACTGAATTCAGGAGTGAATATGAATGCTTTTTTAAAATTGCTAATAATTAATGAGTACTATGAGCAATATACTATGTTTTGTGCTTACTGTATACTATTCCTTTAATCTCCATAACAGCACCCTAAGAAGAATATAATATAGTTATTCACATTTTAAAGATGAAGAAACTAAAGCTCAGATAAGTTACATGAATTGCTGAAGCTGGAAAAAATAAAATCCCCACAGCCTGCTTCAGACCCCTGCTCCTCGGCCTGCAGTATGGCTTCCGGAATGAATGGCTAGCATCCCGAATTTTTATCTGCTATATTAAGCATCTTACTCCAAGAAGAAATTTTGGCTGCTAACCATCCAGCATTCATTTTTACTGTTTTATTATAGGCCCCAGAAGAAATAACAGTTAACCATTTGGGGACCCCTCAAAACTTTGTCAGTTTAATCATCCTTTCCTTGGGGTTGCGCTACTGTCCAATGAGCGTGCCGTGAGGGCAGTACAGCTAACGCCTAAGCAACACACTCGCATCAACCAACCGTGAAGCTTTGCTTCACGTTGGTGCAATTTTTGGAAAACATGAAAACGAAAAACAAAAACAAAAACAAAAAAAACAACTTTGCCAGTTTACTGAAGTTGCGCCTCCAACAATTTGTTGCCTGTTGAAAGAGCCCATGTTAACCCGACTTGATTCTCTGCCATCGTGCGTGATTCCAGCTGTGGGACAGCATCGCTGCAGTCATCCAAACCATCAGCCAAAGGGGTTTCTTTAAAACATGCAATGCATGCAACAAAAGGGCAAAACCTTAATACGGTTTTATTTGCCAAGTAAATGTAGCTGTAAATTAATTCCTTACATCACTGTCCATTAATATTTAATATATTTATATGAAGGATGCCACTTCACAATTCCCCATACACTCAGCATTTAATAATCTAGAAACAGCTTATCTTCTTTAACTCACGGAGACTGGATTTGCAATAACTAGTAACGTTAAATGTATTTTTAAAAAATCAATAATAAATAAATGCATAAGCACTTCCCTCTAGAATGCTTCTGATGTTATTTACAAAATTAAAAAAAAAGATGACAGATCCACAAGGGACTTTATAACCATTTCATTACCACCTCCCTAATTGTGTATGGTAGAACTGCATAATCTGTTTATTGAAATTGAAATCTTTGCAACGGATCCTCCCCACAGACATTAACAATAAGCATCTCGTGCAATAACATAGTACTTAATGCAATATTAACATTATATGCACCAGGCCTTAACCGCTCGCTGGTTCCCCCATTGGAATTGAACACTTTAACACTCTGTGCTCTGCCTCCGTATTCAATTCCATATCTAATTTACAGACTGTAAAACACAATATTCACAGATTACAATAAATACAAAGAAGTTCTAAGGACATATCTGGTGTTACTAGGAAAAGAGAGACTATTTTGTTTGCAGTAGAAACAAAAGAAAACTCCCCTTAAAGTTTTGAACAGGAAGAAAACCATTCTGTTCAGTACTGCCAGGCCAAGTGACGCAAAAGCATTACTTTGACATTAGGTGAAGGTATTTGCATGTAAATGGTGCATGACTGAAATCTAGATATCTCTCCCCAGCTTGCTTTTCCTGAAGAGGCAAGCAGGGAAGGGAAGAGCAATAAATGAGGGGTTGGGAACACTGGTTTTCATCTTGAATCTTCCTGAATGATCTTGCATGCTTTTGAGTCATTTAACTTCTCTATACCTTAGATTTTGTATCTTCAAACAAACAAGATGAACGACTGGCTAGAAGATTCCTTCCAGCTATAAAACTCAAAAAATCTGGAAGGAAATCCTCCATGTATTAAAGTTAGTTTGCAAACCCCACTCTGAGATTTTTTTTGTTACCCTTTAAGCAGTATCTCTTAAATTTCAGGCTTTCTCAGTAACAGAGCAATTAAAATAGCATTCATTTCATGCTGTATAGTTTCCTAAACTCTTTTTATATATTATCTCAATTAATATAAAGCACAGTACTGGACATAAACTATATAGCTGAGATAAAGACTAGCGAGAGGGTTAAAAGGGAAAAAACACGTGAAATTGCAAAATATCTATGGAATAATGGAAAAGCCTCAGAAGTCACTGAACACTTGTCCAATTCTTTCATGATCATTCAGCTAACTTAAATGATCTAATAGTGCTCTATAGTTAAGATGGCCTTTTGCAAAATACATGTTTACTATCATACTATAATCTACTAATCTTAGACACAGCATAAACATTCCCTCATTATTTGTGTTACATGCCTGTGTTAGACAAGAAACTCAGAATCTGGATTTTACTTGGTCATTTGAAGAGAGATGTAGTCCTTTTCCGAGGTCATTGTCTCTATCAGCCAAAATGTGTATTTAATATGTATTTTTTGAAACTAATATTTAATATGAAAAATAATACGATCCATCAAATTCAGGATAGGTGTTAGATTTTGGGAGTAGGAAGGGGAATTTTATCAAGAAGGAATCCTCAGGGGTTTCAATAATAGTATTATATTATTTAATATGGGTGACTGATTGAATAGCATTTGCCATATGGTTATTTACACATTTTATATAAAAACATATAGGTAAAATTTTCATACTAAAATATAGTAGGTAAACTTTTTAAATAAATTTCTCTCTTTCAAGTCTATCTTCCTTTCAGAAAACTTAGGGGACAAAAATTAAGACCACTGAATTATAATGTAAATGATAAAATTGGGTGTCTGCCCTTTATTTACACATCCTCTCATACAACATGTATCAGAGTAAAACCTTTCAATACACAGGAAACCAGTTTAAGACAAATATTACAGGATACATTTGACATAGATACACTAGCAAAGTTTTTCAAAGGTATTTGCAACTTCAGAGCTTACAATTTGCAAGTTCAGTTTTTCTAAATGGAAATTATACTTTTCCAGAATGGTCTTCAACAAATCATTCTCTTACTCTCCTCCTTCTTTTCCCAAAAATAAAACCACTTTTCACTATTTTTATGTAACTTTGGAAAGCAAGGCATCCTGGCTATAGTGAAAAAGATTTTTAATAACCTTTCCATCTCACCCTCTTCATCTCTTTCCTCTCATATAAGGTTGTTCCATCTCACTACTAAGAAAAAAAAAATTTAGAACTGAACTCCTCCCAGCCCCCCACAAAAAATCAGTAATAGCAAGAGAAATATTGGTTTGGAATTATCTTTCTTTTTAAAAGTTGATCAGTTCCTTTCAGAACTCCAAATGCTTTATCTTTAATCTGATCTTGTTTTTCCTGCTTGAGTATGAGATTGCTTTATCACTCATTCTACCACACTGGCTGTTGAGGAAAGTCACTATACTGCTTTCACGTTCAGTGTGGTTCTTTTCCAGATGAGAGGGGAGAACCTGTCTGTGTCCTGGGATCATTTTATCACACAGCCCCCTTGCACAATTTCCAACTGTCCTACAACCTGAAAGCATGGATCAGCACATAGTATCAGGTGAACAGCACATGTTGAACTATTTTACTATTTCTGTGCCATGAGATTACTATAGAAATACAGCCATCTTCTTCATTTTGCTGGAGTTCTCCCTAGATTCACAGTAAACAAAGGGAAAGGTTACTATGCCTGGAGCCAGGGCAATCATCAGTACATTCATTGCAGTAGCAGTATTCTCTTCCCCAGTCGTCATCCTCTTTTCAACTTGTCTATGAGGTTCCACCCTCACCCACAGAGCCTATATACAAAAGAGTAGCATGAATTCATGCTTCATTCAGGGTTATCAATCCCAGAAAGTGGTTCTACCTGTGGTTGCAATTTCTAATCCAATTAATTTCAATAAAATGGATCAACTGTTAGCAATATGGGAAGTACTATAGAGAAGACCAAGGCATAAACCTTGCCTTTAAGGATGTTAGATGTGAATGAACTCAGACATAATGTTCAGACACATAAGCACATAACAGTAACAGTGCTGTTAAGTGAGCAGTTACTGTGCTAGCAAAGAGTTATATGTATGTTTGCTCATTTAATTCCACAAATGTCCTATACAGGCATTATTATTCCGGGACCAAGAGAGCTTATATACCGAGGTCCAAAAGCAAAGTCGAAGCAGGAAGCACACTCATGTCTACCTTACTCCAAAGCCCATGCTGTAACTACCGTCTTCCATGCCCAGCTCAGCTACTTAGCCAAGGAGACAGACAACAGGGTATGGGAATGACCAGGGAAAGTAGGAAACACAATCCTTTTAACTTGATTTTAAATGACTTCACCAGATTAATGTTTGTACTTTGAAATGTTTGACTAATGAACCTACGACGAATGTATGCTATTCATTGTGTTCATAACAGTATTTCTCAAAATCTAAACCATCTTTTATTTTTAAAGCTAATTACCACTATGAACAGCGAGATTTCAAACAGATAGTATTGATGTTTATGTGTTCCTACCACTTACTTGTGAACATTATAGGTGGCAGAGTATATTGAATTAGCTGTCATCCCTCCTTATACCAGTGGCAAGGGTACCCATCTGATCTCTCACCCTCCCAGCAACCTGGCTGTTTTTGCAAGTGCGCCCCCTTAACCCCAAGGCTGCTCATGGTACTGCACTCTTTTGCCTGGAGGTTAAGGGACTCAACTACAGTACTGATTTTTACATTCCCATTCTTTAGAATAACAAGCATCATACAGAGATGAAGGGAAACAACTGAACAAGTAGCACCACATCTTTATCTGGGCTATTGGAATAAAAAAGAAAGCAGCTTAATCAGTGTATCTGTTCATTTCTTTTAATTAATTGTTAACTACAGTACTAGTATGAGGATACCGATTTCATTTCACTGATTCACCCTGAAATAAAAATGCATGAAAACCCTTCTGCTGACATCTAGAATCTCGGGATATAAATGCAGATGTTTTGAAATGACTCCCTATTTTTTTCATGCTCTTGACTCCATTTTGCCCCAAAAGGGTGGGACGCAATCATACCGTGTAGCAAAATCAGAGAAGCCACCATGTCTAAGATCCCGGGTTTGTGTAGGAAGATGCAAGGTGTGTCGCATCAGTCCCAGCTTGGTGTCACGAACAAATGCCACATCAGTTCAAATACAGATCAATCTATTATTTTAAAGCAATAGAAACTGCCATCATTGGTGTTGAATGCTCAGTATTGCTCTGCAATCCTCCAACCTTCATAATAATATATATATGAAATCTTTTCTCCATCAACATTATATTGGCTGCTAGTGTTGACACTAAGTCTCCCCAAACCACCTTTGTCCCATGCACATCCCTCAGAAACCATTTCTTATTGGCTAAAAGCAGATAAACCTGCCAAAAGCCAGTGCTTATTTCTCTCCCAAGAGACCTCACTTGAGTAAGCGTAAGCGAGCATAACTCTGTGTGTTTTCTTACCCAAAGTGACAGGCAGCCTGGGAACAGAAGATCTCTGTTTCTTAACTCAGCACCCTGGATTTGGGTGATTTAACTATATATAAAGGCAGCACTAGGTTGATTTGAAAGATACATTTTATCAAGTTGTCAGCTTTCCAGGGCCAACTGTTTCAAAATCACTTAT